ACAGCCAGGGTGACAATAGATGTGTTTTCCCTCCCCTCATCCTATCACTCAAGTCTAAATTACGTATCTTTCTAAAAAAACATTCCATACTTCAAAGATGCACTTTTTGTACTGAATCAGGAGATGATAGACAGAAATCCTGTGCCTGCACTGTGCACAAGCAATGCAGCCCCTACTCCAGTTTGGTTGTGAATAACCTTATAGGTAAGGAAATGGGAATTGAAACAGAAAAAGAACAAAAAACTAACAGCTCTGCTCATGGTACTATCTCAGTTTGTCCAGTGGTGGTTTAGATTTATTTCCTGCTGAAAACAGGGAATGTCTAGTGGTTGTGTCTGGGCTTTGTGTTGTTTGTGGGCTGGCAAAGCCCAGCTCTGGTGCAGAGTTATGAGGGGGGCAGTGGGGCTGGTAGTAGAGGTGTTGGATGATGGTTTCCTCAGGAAGGAAGTGAGAAGACAGGAGTGGCTGAGAGACAAATGGGTTCCTAGGACAGCGTTACTCCAGCTTCCTTGGCAGCTGCTTCTGGAGGTCATGTTGCTTTCAAGTATTTATCTGCAGGAACATTCTAGTATCTAATTCCATAAAGTTGGTTATTCTTTAAAATCTAGCCCATTTCCACATTTGCTTTTCCTAGAGGATTTCTTTAAAGATGTTTATGTTGTACTATAGAAAAGAGGACCTTCCTTCAGAAGTGGAAGAAATGCCCTGGACCACAGTGCTAACATAATGATCTACCAAGAAGAAAGCTTAGCCATAAAATATTGTGGGTATGGCAGTTGCTTCAGTTATCTGCTGATGTGCACACTTGCTCTATCTTAAACAGCACAGTGAATGCAGTTCTGTGATTGCTGCAGAGTAGGCTTTTAGCCCTTCATCTTTCTTCATGGAGAAAAACACTTGATTTTTTAAGTTGTCTGTCTATATACTCAGTTGTTTGGGGTTTTAAGAAATGTATCTATCAGAGACTTTTATCCAAAGAAGTTTAGTGTGATGTCTGAGTATGCTTAAGGCTTTGTTTCCATGCAGGTATCTAAGGCAGCTATAAAACTGGAGAGGTATGTTCATTCCTGTGAGCTATTCAGCTGAGTCACCTTGACTTTTCTTGTGTTTTCTGCCATTGCTCTGTGCTGTCTGTCTCTTTTAAACCCCTCTTCAAGAGCATAACATTTCTCATTGCAGCTTTGGCTGTCCTGAACTTCCTGTGATCTGATCAGGCTTAAATTTGCTACTCACTGCTTCAGCATGGCTTCTGTCTCTGAGTAGATTTCAGGGTGCATTTCTTGCAGCTGGAGGTCATTATTTTTGATGGCACAGTTCACCTAGGTCTTTCTGGGTACTTAAATTAGTTTTACCATCTGAACATTGTGTTTGTTTTGGCTTTTGTCCTTCAGCAGTAGAATGGATCTATTTGTCCATCAGGAGCATGCATTAATATGATGGAGTCTTCCGGAAACAAATTAGTTGGCCAGGAGATCAAGTAAAGATTTTTAACCAGGGCAGAGAGACACCTTAGTGCCTTATCTTAGCTTTACTGTCTATAGCTTTGAATTCTCTGGAAAGTAGTAAATATGTCACTTCTCCCATTTAATTCATGATTCATTTGGTAAAGATACTGACATTCCACTTCCAAGCTGAGGATTCTTCTGTTGTGGTGGAATTTTTTTTCTCATTCAACTATTATAAGATCTTTAAAAACATACTAGGCTTCTCTCCCCGTCCTCCAGGCCCCATAAGTAATGATCTGTCTCTGCAGTGAGTTTGAATCTGCCCTTAGTGGCATGCTCTTACAACATTCAGTAATGGCTCCCTCTGTTGTCAGTTCCCAACATAGCCCTTTGGCCTTGTTTTTTTCTCCTAGGACCGTAGGAATGAGCAAGTCCCTAGCAGTCTACAAAAGGGTGAATCAGCTTCCTTTTAGGAGCTTACCCTTGAATTTAATCTCAGTGTACTTTTTTGATATTACTGTGGGGAGCAAGGAGATGCAATGTTTCATTTGAAGGCTGATCAATTTCTTAGTTGTGGGGTGTGGCATTTATTTTTGTGTACATTTGAGAAAGCTTGAATACTTGGATATTAGGTGTGCTGTATCAAATTATATTGACTAAATATCAGCTTCTTGCAAGGGCTCTTCACCTTTCTTGGGATGATTGAGAGATCAGAGGATTATCAATTTCTGTTATGGAAAACTAAAGCTGTAAGAACATGGCTTGATGCAAAATACTTGAGGTTTAATTAGGGTTTATTCAACCAGAGCTAGGCCACACAAATGGCTTCTTGTATGAAGATTGTCAGCTGCTGAGATCCACAGAGCTGCTCACTGGGGCTGAGATGACCTTTTTAATAACTGGTATGAATTTAGTTGGTTCTCCATGATGCTCTAGGACCTTGAGGATGGCAGGCCTGATTCCTGAGCCCTTCTCCATGTTTACTGCCACTTAGGAGTGTCCACAGTATGTGTGGATGCAGGAATACATTTCAAGAAAGTTGAGGAGATTCCTGTAAGTGCTCTTTGAAAGTTGTTACCTATAGATTCCCAAGCCATCTCTTACTCTCTTCACCAGTGCTTCACAAAGAAATGGGGACCCTTTAGCTGGAAGAAACAGAGGGGAGAATAGCATATTCTACCCTTTAATAGCCTATGGGTGATACACCTTGGAGCAAGAGCTTACCCCGCAGCCTTGTTGGACACCTCAGAAGTAAATTTTTCTGATTTGAAGAGTGCTTCTGTGTAGGTACATGGAGATAAGACATCTGGGAGCACAAATATGTAATACATTTCCCTTTGCTGTACAGCATCTATGTATATCAGCATTTGTCTGTGAGTGTGATGATTGCTCTTGACAATCATTCTTTAGTAGTGTCAATATTATTGCCCTCCTCTTTTTTGTGGCAGATTTTAAGGCTTCTTTACTATTTACTCATGCACCAGATTTTATATGAACTACTGCAGAAAAGAGGAAAACTTTACTCAGTCTTTTGGTATCGTACCATTTCTGGACTATTATTTGCTAGTGGTCAGCAAAACATATATGCAGAAGTATTGGTATGTTAATATTATGCAACATAGTCTTTTCTAGGTGCTCCAAGTTATGTTAGAAGCAAGCATGATTTTCCATGTGGTTGGGCCCTAGCCCTGTGTGTTTTCATTTAGCAAGGAGTGAACTCTGGCTAATGCCATCTGTGGTTATTGCTCTTTACATAAACTCATACCAGGTGAAGATAGGAAGAGAGCAGACTGGTATAAGCTATCTTTGTAATTTGCTCGAAGTAGCACTGGGTATCAATGTCCAAGACTGGGAGCAATGTCCAAGACTACTGCTCCCCAGGGAGTAATGTTCTTGCATCAGTTCCATTCTCAAAAAAACAAACAAACAAACAAACCAAAAAACAAACAAACAAAAAAAAAAACCAAAAAAACCAAAAAAAAACCACCCCAAGCTATCACTATAGAAGCTTTCCACGTAATCTGTGTCTCTCTCAATTCCTAGAGACCCACTGAGATTTCTGAGTCTTGTGAATGGTGATTTTCCTCCCCAGCTTGGGAGTTTGGTCTTAATTTCCAGATCCTGTAAGGAGTTGTGAACCTAAATATATAAAGGTGTTATGTGATAACATAATTTTTGAGTCTTTGTGATTTAATACTGTCTGTGAAATCTGACTGTCAGACGACTTTATTTGAGGAAAAACTGATGGGAGACTTCTTATTCCTAAGTAGAATATAAAGTTAAAATGGGAGGAGAGAATATTTAGTGGACAAAATTGGGATGTGGAGTAGCTGTACCTTTTTTTGTGTAAGACAATTATGCAACATTTTTGCAGATAATAATTTAGTTTTTAGTGCGAGTTTCATTAAATTTCCTGTATTGGCAAATGTTCTAAGATAACATGTAAATGTTGTAGTCTAATATTAATTAACTTATACAAGGCACTTCTTTTATATGCTTCTTCATGGTAAAAATAATGAACTAGCACCAGTAGGATTTGAGACTTCTTTTTACAAAACTCAGCTTCTCCCTCTGCTGAACAAGACAAGCCTTCTCAGCTGTGTTTGCTTTCCTTCCTCTTCTCTTTCTTCCTCCTACACTTTGGGTGTGTGGGTTTCGATATGTGTGCAGTTTTTTCTTTCTGCCAGCAAGTCTCTGCACTAAGTGTCTGGAGTAGACTACACTTAACTAGTCAATGCTTTTTCAAAGTGTACTGTTAAAATCAAGGAGCTGAGCAGGATGCTAAGCTATTAAGCCAAGATGAACTTGCCAAATGCAGCAGTCAGAGACATGTCTGCTCTGCACTCCTTCACTGAGGTTTCCACCTCCACAACAGCATTAGCAGAAGGGGGTGTGTGAGTGCCTTCACCACAAGCTTATGCTGAGAGAGTAAGTCTACAGGGAGATTCCAGACTGTTCCCTGGCAGATGTCTGTTTTCTTTCCCCATCTTTGCTGTGAGTGAGTTAAGCTCTGACAGGGAAGCTCATCAGGTTAGGATTTAACTCCCTGACTGCCACACCAGTAGTGGTGGTGTGGATAGACAATTTATTATTTGCTTTTAGAAAAGCCACTAATCTGAGTTTGATAAAATAAGTATTTACAAAAACATAATTCTTGACTTCTGTGTACTGATTTGAAATGTGTTAATTAGCCCATGGCTTTAGGTAATTAGTAGTTCACAAGTACCATACTTACTAAGGTGTCAGTGTAAAATAATTACCATGGGTGAGATTGTTTCCTAATGCTGTTACAACAAATAATTTAGTTACCCTGAGGAGAAGCACTCTTATTAGTATGTATTGGTGTCACATTGCTGGAAAGCTGATCAGTTCTTCCAAGTGCTTGCTGCATGCAAGAGTTGTGTAGCTGGAAATGCAAGATTTGGCAGCTGCTTCTAAATCAAACAAGTGAAATGCTGAATGCAAACTCAGCGTACCAGCAGGAGGTGAAAGACTTCAAGAAGAAAGTATTCTTCTTCAGCAATTCTTCTTTACTTTTGTCTTCATACAATGTAGGCAAGCATTGCCAATGATCCTTGGTCCAGCTGGAACGTTGGGAAGTCTGGTAACTGGGATAATGGAAATACTGTTGACAGCTGGGCAACAAAACCTGAAAGTGCACCTGGCCAGAGAAACAGTGCTTCAAATAACTGGGAGGCAGCAGCAGCATTTGGTCATCCACAGGCATATCAAGGACCAGGTGGGCTAATAATGCTTTTTTTTTTCCTTAATAAGTTATAGTAGGTGGATAGTAGAGGTAAGAATTATTTAATCTTTTATAACTATAGACCATGGCTTATTTAAAAAACAAAACCAAACCAGTTTCCTAAAAGCATATTGCCATGTGGGTAAGCTGGACACTAAAATAATAGGGGCTTTAAAAATTAAATCATTTTTTTAAAAAATTGGTTCCACAGTAACAAATGCCTCAAACTTCTATAGAAATCTGACAAACCAAAGTCTTGTGCATACATGATCTATTCTCAGGCATGTTGTCCAGCTTGTGTAACTGGAACTTTAAAAATCCTTTGAATTTGTGGTCTCAGGCCTTTGAAGGAATAGTCGCTTAAATCCTTAATTTTAAGAAGTGACTGGCTTTTCAGAATGCTTCTCTACCTTTTATAGTAACAGCCTAAATTAAGGGGAGAACCCATAACTGGGGAATGGTAATTTGGAGTCTATGAATATGGAAGACAGTTGAGTTAATCTTAACACACCATCATCTCTTCTTTAATTTTTATTTTCTTTTTTATTTCCCCTCTCCCTCAGTGGATTTCTAGTGCACTGCTTTGCAGGATGTATTTGATGGAGATAGTGGTAATTGAGGAGGAATCATAAAATAGAAGGCTGAAAGAGATTTTAATATATTTACCTGGTTGATTATTTGTATGTGAGTGCTGAAGTACCTGATTCTGCTTCTGAAGAGAAGTGATGTAACTTTTTCCTTTCCCTGTCCCCTGATCCCTCCTGTACTTCAGCAGCTGCTGATGACGATGATTGGGATGATGACTGGGATGACCCAAAATCAACTTCGCCATCTTACCTTGGTTACAAGGAGACTGAGGCATCAGAGGCTGGGGGGATCCAGCGTGGAAATTCTCGTGCAGCTGCTATGAAGTTACCACTTAACAAGTAATGGAAGATGCAGGGGAAATGTGTATATATTGAAGAGAATTGGAATTTGTCAAGATGTGTAAATTCAACATCCTTGAAATAAGCAATGTAAATTACAGTTTTGGGGCAGAAGAGAAGGTGGATTTGTAGTTCAGCATACTCCTTAAGCAAGCAGAGGACACAGATCCCTGAAAGCTTGAAAGTACATGACAAAGCTGTGCAATTTTTGGAGGTGTCATACAAGCAAATGACACTTTCATGTTGCCTGAGCATCAAGTCTTTAAACTGTAACTGTGTTTGACAGTTTGTTCTTAATGAAAGTCAAAGGTGATGGTAGATTTGTCCATACAGTAGAAACTGATCAGAGATGCTGCCCCAGAGTTCTTGAGCAATCTGAGTTTCTAGTGGGGAAAACTTCTGTTCTGCTGTGTTTGTGCATCATCCCAGTTGATTCTTGAGCCACAGAAAGTTTGATTTTATAGATGAAAATCTTACAGTAGCATCAAGCTTTGTCAGGGTTATACTAGCATTATCTCGTTACAGCTTAACGTTTATTTATTCTAAGAGTGCTGTTACTCTGAGAGCTAGTGTGTGGTAGTCTCTGAGTGGATGAAAGCAGAGTGGAAAAGGATTGTAGAATAATGGTTCTTTGGGTATCTAACTAAAATCAACTGTCTCTGCATGACTGGTTAATTTTATTCATCAGTGGGTTTTTATGTCCAGTGTTGCATGAGTACCTGTACATCATTGTTCACTTTTGCAAACTCAAAAAAATACCTTTTTAAAGAGATTGTTTTGTCTGTGGAGTAAGTCCTGCTTTGCTGCTCATGTTTCTGCAAGCAGGTTGGCAATACTACAAGGGCTAATTATCTCCTAAATTAGAAAGAGGACCACCATTTGCTTTTTATAAGGCATCTTGTAAGACTTTAGAATATTATAGTGATTGTTTGGCTTTCTTTTAGTTGGTGGATAAATTATTTAAGATAACTCATGTTTAGAAGCTCTTGATCGATCTTCTGTTTATCATTCTTTCAGATGATTGAATTCTTGTAATTTGAAATCTCAGGTGCATGAGCATCTGGGTGTGTGTGGTGTTTCCAGAGAGGGTGGGGCTGCAGAGGAGTGATAGATGTTGCTTTGTGTCCTCCTGTTATGTTTAGTATGATGGTCAGCAGAACAGGAATAGCCACTTTGCTCTGCAAGAAGGGGCCTACTACACACAGAGACACACAAGACACACACAAAAAACCTGGATGTCAGTAGCCAAGATTATTCTGCTTTTTTCCGTGCAAAATGTTGATTGTTACAGTAATTCACATAAACTTTTTTCTATACTTGAGAAATATTTAGGGTTTTTTCCCTGTAACAGCAGGTAGTTCTGCATATGTCAAAGGAAGGAGAATTAACTTATCACTTCATTATATTGTTAGGTTTCCTGGATTTGCAAAACCTGGAATGGAACAGTATCTGTTGGCAAAGCAGCTAGCAAAACCCAAAGAAAAAATTCCCATAATTGTAAGTTGGGGTCGTGTATAATTATTCTGTGTGGGTGGTATGGGGTTTTTTGGTCTTCTTTTTTTTTTTGGTTGGTTGGGTTTTGTTGGTCAGTTGGTTGGGTTTTACAATCCTCCTCACCTTTCCCTGTTTCTCAACTGAACTTTTATCCTCAAGGTTGCTGTATATATTTGGGTCAGAAGAAACTGATACTGAACATATAATTAGAAATAGAACTGTCATAATAAAAATCATAAGTGTGATGATGATGATGATTATTTTCAGTACTTTTTTACTCATGCTGTATCTGCATTACTTGTGGTGAACATATGCCTTTTTAGGATTGGAATGCAGAGCAAATGCATTACACTGTCTATTTGTTATCTAGATAGTTACATGTAAGAGCTACATTTGTAGAGGTTTGCAATATTCAGTCCTGATGGTCAGGTCATTTTCTGATCTGAAAACCAACTCTTCTGTCTATATGCTGTTCTAGCGAAATGTGGTTGAAATAGCCCTAGAATTCACCATTCCTTTGTTATTTGGGAAAAATTGTAAAATACACAAGATAAAGTCAACTGTGGTCTTTTGTCCCTGATTGCAAGAAGCCTCTCTGTTTCCAGGCTCTCAGCCTCTCACTGAAATCAATGGAAGCTCTCACGTGAAGAGAGAAGATATTTGTCCTCTTGTTTGCAGCTGGTGCAACATGGTGTATTTAAAGATAATATTTGCAATTTCTTACAGATTGGTGATTATGGCCCAATGTGGGTATATCCTACCTCTACGTTTGACTGTGTGGTGGCAGATCCCAAGAAAGGCTCTAAAATGTATGGTCTCAAGAGCTACATTGAGTATCAGCTGACCTGCACTGTAAGTGTATCTGAAACAGGATCTTTTGTCTCAAATTGTTATGTTTGGTGACAGCAAATATGTATCATTTGTTCATAAATAGAAATTGTGTAAGACTTGATAAGGGCATTGTAAGACTTGGTAAGAGCATTGTAACAGTAAGTGGTAGCTGTCATATTTTTTTACCCCAAGGATTTGCTTTTTTCTAGAATTTTAAGTTCTGTATTAAGGCTCTAATTCATAAATTTTATTTGCATTGCATGTGGTTACCATTCTGGTCCTGCTTGTTTCACATGACTGTGTGTAGATGCCTGTCCAAGTTCAGAGTTATGTTTCTCTTACAGAACACTAATCGGTCTGTCAACCACAGATACAAGCACTTTGACTGGTTGTATGAGCGGCTCCTGGTTAAATTTGGATTAGCCATTCCAATCCCTTCTCTTCCAGACAAGCAAGTAACAGGTAATTATTCCCAGTTCTGAATTCATGAAATGGGAGATAAGGAAATCAGATTTTCATAAGGTTCAGTTATTTCTTACTGTTTGTTTTTCCCATTATTTTTAAAGCTCAACCTTTCTCCACTCAAAATTTATGATGAGTTGTTATGACTGATTCATAATAACAGATCAATACTAGGAGAACCACTTCAAAACTCAGGTTCAAGTATCTAGTGATTTAAAAAAAGGTAATTAAAAGCAAAACAAATTCCCCTAGTTACTACATGAGATAGAAATTACTGTTGGAGAGAAGAGATGGCTACTTCTATTCTGTATTTGCTGATTGGCTGGGCAAGTGTTTTTGCATGGGGTTTTTTTGAGGGTTGGGGAGGGGCGTGCATTGTGTTTGGTTTTGTTTGGGTTTTTCTCTTTTGCATTTGATTGTACATATGTTATGTTGTAGGAACTTTGACACAAGGTTCCCAGAGGAAAGGGACCATCCAACCTGACTGGTTGGGATGGGGATTTTTTGCTTCAAAGTGAAATGTTGCAGCTGTTTCTCCTCTTGCTTGATTTCACACTTGATTTAGAAAGCATCTTTCATTCATATAGTGTTCTGCTCTGGTTTGATGTCAGTTCAGCTTGACCAAACTGTCTGAAGCTTGTGGAAATCTTTTGTTCTCACTTCAAGAAAAGTGGAATTGGGTCCTTTAAATGCACTTAAGTTTCGTCATTGCAACAGAATATGACAATGCCTATGCATTTTCAGTAGTCTCTGACTCCCTTCCTACAAGTATAGGCTAGAGTGCCTGTGAAGGAAAGAATGGACACCTGCATAGGAGGAAAATGCATTACTTTAGCCCATTTCCATTTGTATATTTTCTGGTAAGATTATACAGTGTTTAAGATAAACAGCCAAAACCAAACATACAAGCATCGGCATGTTGCCAACCACGTGGCTGTGGGCATCACTCAAAATGCAGCAGCTCTGCTGTGTTTGAAGAAAGCTGAGCATTGATGAAGTTGCTGGGATAAATGCCGAGCAAACTGAAAAGTGAGGAAGTGACTTCTTTCCCCTTGCCTCGTGTTTAGAATTGACCAGCATTTTTATTAAACGTGTGCATGTCTGTTAACAGGAAACCAGAAGACATGCTGGGGTCCCTAGATTTCATTGTAATTATATCTTAAAAGACCCAAGAGTCTGGCATCACACCTTGGCAAAATCCATTACCTGTGAATTTCTATCTTCTGGAATCTGTGGAAGAGAATACTTTGTCCCATGCAAAAAAATAATAATTAAAAAAAAAAAGCGTGTTTCTTTTTCTGAAACATGAACAAACTGGAAAAAGCGTGCTTATCTTTCACTGTGTTTAGGAGGCTTCTTTCTGAAGACTGTCTACAAAAGCATTTCTGTCAATTTGTCTTGACAGAACAAGACTCCCAACTGACTTTGTCAGGATCCTAGTTTTAATGACATACTGGTGATGATATGCTTAATGATCAGCATGTAACTTCCAGCTGCTGCTGTTCTGGTGTTCTGCACTCCTTGCAGGAATGCTGTGGAGATTTCTGTATAGATTCAAAATGAAGCAAAGTATTACTGAAGAGTATAGAATATCTTCTATAGTGGGGTTTGGTTTTTTTTTGCTAATTTGTAGGAAAAATACCCATGCACAAAGTTCATTTTTTGTTAGTTCTGTTATTTACCTGCTAAAATTGCTAATTTCCATATTTGTAAAAAAACTAAAAACCCAAACCACAAAACCCTCAACTTTGTAGATCTGCTGCCATAGTAACTATGCAGTAGAATTATATTGAAACAGTACCTGCATTCAAGGCTTGTCATCTGCGCTGCTGTGGAAATCAGGAGAGTTCGGTGCTGGAGAAATCTCTCTTTCCTTAAAATTCCCATTCACTGTATGCTTTAGAAGTCTGATCTCATGCATTTTTTTTTTAATTAGAAAGGATTCTCTCAAGAAGACAGTTTCTACTAAAACTAAAAGGTTCTTATGAATACACAGTGATGATGCATTACTGGTTTAAGAAAAAATGGTTACTTATTTAGTTTGTATTAAAAATATCTTAAGTACCAAAAAAATCAGTTACAGTCTTACATGTATGTAAGACTGTAACTAACCAGTATATAACCTGTGTATTCTAACCAGTTTATGATTATGATTTATTGATATTTTTTGGGTTTTTTTTTCCCCCAGTTTACCTATATGTTTAAAGGAGGCACTGCCTTTTAAATCTGTGATTTGTGTTTGAGTGATTTGAAATATTTTCAAGCAATCCAACTTTAATTTTTTGAGCTGTTTCATTTCAGTGCTTTGTTAGCTTGTACATGGCAACTTGGATTGTAGTTCTTTTTTCTTCAATGTTTTTGAACCTCATATTCACCAAGACTTTACTAAACTGTTCCAGAAAAATACCTTCATTCCAAGCCTGTACCTGGTGTTTCTCTTGGGTCATCTGAATACCTAATTTTCCAATCCACAAGTTTATTAGTTTTTTTCCAAAAAAATGTTTTTGAATTGTGGGTGTGTAATTTTAATATTTCCTGGCTATCTTAAAAAGGATGAGAACTCTTAATCAGTAATCAATATACTGTAATTTAAGGTTCTTTTGATTTTTTAGCATAATGGGCCATTTATTTATGAGTTGGACTTTATGATTCTTGTGAGTCCATTCCAACTCAGGATTCTGTGATTCATGTAAGTTCTGAGTCATTAAATTGTTAATAACTCACTAGATGAATTACAGGTTGTTTCAATTTAAATTTTTTAAAAGGAATTTGAAGGTGCTAGCCTGTAAATGTAACAATTATTGTTCAATGTGTGACAGGGCGCTTTGAAGAAGAATTTATCAAAATGCGCATGGAGAGGCTGCAGGCTTGGATGACGAGAATGTGCCGCCATCCTGTTGTCTCAGAAAGTGAAGTTTTCCAGCAATTTCTCAGTTTCCGAGATGAGAAGGTAGGAAATGAAATAAAGTTCTCACACAGACTGCAATTGAGGAATTGCTGTCCCCCCACACTTCCCCTTCAAACCAAGAGTTTGGCTCTGTAGCTGCCCCACTGTGGGCAGTAGTGCCGGGCTGGAAACTGCTGGGATTCCTAACTCAGCTGATTGGTCAAAACAAGGCATAAAATTGCTCCAGTTAAATGCTACACACCATTCCCACACAGCTGTGCTCTTCAAAGTAACGTTGTTGCCAGTCTTTCAAGGGCCAGTTTGTATGCTCCAGCAGAGTGGGAAGATATATAAAACTCTTTTGGCTGTTGCCCTGCTCTGTCTCTGCTGGATTTATTAATCTCTGCGATCCTCTGAGTGGTGCTGCTCTGCTAACAAAAGCAACTTCAGAGCAGATCTAGGTTGTGCCTGATCCTGTATTATATTTAAAAACAATGCCCTGCCCCCATCCCTCAAACCCACAGTTTTTCACTGAAATGGGTTATAATAGCACTATGTTGCAGCCTTACCTGTTATAAGAAGTCATTTTTTATTCACAAACACTTTATTATGCTTTTTTAAAAAGAGATTTTAATACTTCAGTAAATGATAAATAAAGTAAGTAAACATTTAGTAAATAATGGTTTCTTCATGACTGAGCTCCAGCTCTGTTACTAATTAGGAAACAAACAGAAACACCCTGCTGCTTTCTCCTCAAAATAGTCATACTTCTAAATACACATAGAATTTGCTGAAAAAGTAAATTATCCAGTCTGGTCTTAAAAATTTCCAGGGTTCAAGTCCCCTGTGACTAAGTTCAGAGCTGACCAGTTTTGAGTCAGAGGCTGAACTACCAGCATACTTCTAACCAGAATTATTCTGTGATCCGGTAAGTTGAGGCTTAATAACATAGCAAGTACTAGTCCTGGTGAAATGCTAGTTGGATGGTTAGTGGGGAGTTGTATAATTCTGCCAGCTAGTCAGCACTTTTAGTTTCTTTTCTATAGATGTATAAACAGAACAGATGTTGCAACACATAGGGAATTTTTAACCACTAAGAACTTAGTATGCTAATTGCATAATAGTTGCATGATTTTCTTGAGCAGCTTCTGATATGAGACTTATCCTGTGTGTGAAGACAGCTGAATATCAATGTTCTTACACTGCATCTCAGTAATACACAAGAAGGGTCTGTTGACCCCAGAATTTAGATAACAAAGTGCACAAAGGAGGAGGGGAAGAACTTTGGGAAACTATAAAAAGCCTTGGCTTCTCTGAAGATTTCACTTCTTAATGAAAGGTTTCAATTCAGGGGTGGTCTGTTGATTAACAGTTCTCCTAAACATTTAATTCAGTCCTTAAGCACACACCTTTAAAGAAGTCTTTCAACACTTCCAAAACATGCTAAACTTACCAAGCATCTTAGGATAATTGTAGATGGACCAATAAGCAGATCAATGTTTCTTTAACATAGTAGTATGATTTGAATGTCTGTAATCCATGGAAAGCTATTAAAAATGAAAAGTTATTTAAATTATCAAATTTCATTCTGGAAGTGCAAATGGATATATTTATTTTACATATGTGTATATTACATACACATGCACTTGTTAATGTATATTCTGTAGGTGATAAACCTTTGAGTTTCACAGAGACTAGAATTACTATGCAACCTTTATTTCTCTCCTTTAGGCTTAATAATTTTTCTTAGAAAATGTAGTATGTATGACATGCATTTCTTGCTGTTCTGGAACACCTGGATAATGTTTTGTGTGCATTTGTGGATAAACTGGATAGAAGTGTTTTTGGTAGCTAAGCAGTAGTGTATCTACACCCAATATAGGCTTTATGCAAGTGATGCAGTGCCTATTGGGTGGATAAAATGGCTGTGTGGTAGCAGTTCTGCACCAGCAGAAAAACATGCACATTTTTAGGTCACTTACACTTCAACCATGGGGATTTCAACCTTGACTACTTCGCTTTAGTGATGTGGTTTCTGTATATCCCAGTGGTGTAAAAGCTGAAGGGGTGACTGAGAGGGAGGATTTTGTACCCAGGGTGCAGGAGGGGGAATGTACTACATACACATCCCTGGCAGAGAGTGCCCAGCATGTGGTCTGCTAAACAGTTTGTGCCCAAGCAGGGAGGGTACACCAGCCCGAGGAGAATGCTCACCAGGGATATGCGTTCCTGGGCTGGGGCTGGCAGCCTGGAGTAGTGCTGAACTATTTCCAAGCAGTTGCAGGGGTGGCTGTAACATCTCAGATGTCCACATGTTCTAGTGCGTGGGAATGCTGTTAAAAGTGTGTGAGAGTCTTGAAAGCCATTACTCCACTTACTATGTGGGCAAACCAGCTTGTTCAATAACTGTTCGGTTCTTCAGTGTGAAGATGTTCTTCACTGAACAATTTTGCTACTATTTTGAGAGTCCTGCACAGGTTCATGAACATTTTCAGTGATCTTGAGACCACAAAGTATGAGGTTTAGAAAATTTAAGGATGTTTTGCCCCTGAGGTAAGAGAAGTAAAGCAAGAGGCTCTTAGAAAGCCTAGGTGCTGGTTTTGTGCAAATAACTATGTGGGTATGGTTTCCAACTGAGGAAGGAAGTGCTGGTGGGGAAGTGGGAACCTCTAGGTTGTTGGGCCACAGCTGGAGCTGCTGCCCTGGCTCTGGGAAGTCACTCAGTGTCCCCTGGCTGTTACAGCTGTCTCATGCAGGCTTTGGCTGAGAGCATTTGTAAGATCAGATGTAGTTTAAATAAATCTCATTGGAAATGATAAAATATATGTTTAGTTTTCTTTTGTAGAGTTCACAAATCACTGCTGTGTATGCAATGCTGTGTTAATGGAAAACTCTGATAGCTGCATGTAATATGAAAGTATGCATATATATTTCCCTAGGAAAGTTGCTGTATTACTTTTTATTCACCTATGCTAGACTTCAATCAAAATATCTGACACGGTTATTTGCTTTTTATTTTTTCATTATTTTATGAATTTCACTACTTCTGTTACACTGTAATAAGAGTGCTAGTCCAGTGCCACATGTCTACGAGTCTAACAGAGGAGGAAAAATAGAAAAAATAATGCCTATATCTAAAAAGGGGAATTCTGAATTTAGTGAAATGGCAGAAATTTCAAGGAATGGGTTTATATCTCTGATACTTTTTAAGACAGAGTTGACATTGCTTAACACTTCAGTATTGCATTGAAAGTTAACATTATGTATCTATTTTTTGCTTTTGCTTTTTCAAAATGCCACAGAGAGCAGAAATGTGATGCAGTGGGTAGGTTCACCAAAGCAATGGATGATGGAGTTAAAGAGCTGCTGACAGTGGGACAGGAGCACTGGAAGAGGTGTACAGGGCGTAAGTGTCCTTCTGAACTCAGCACTCATTTCTGTGGTGCTTTTCTCTCTTCTTTTTTTAATGTGTGTAATTCAAGGCACATCTTTAAAGAAATTCCTAAGTTATCATGGGAATTGTTTGGCATTCTGGCTATTTTCAGTCTAAGAGTATAAATTGTGTAAGTTTTTTGTTAATATGTTTGATGTGGGGCTTTTTGTTGGGTTGTTTGGGGTTTTTTTCTTTATCTCAGAAATATCTGTTCCCTGCTCATAGGTTTAAAAATACTTAAAGTGAAACAATTCTAGTAATGCAGCTAAAGCCCTTGTTGGACCTGTTCTCATATACTGGTCATTTATTTGAATTTTAGTGACATGGGCAAAATAGACCTGTTTATTTGATGAAATCATATTTTCAAATAATTGCATCTTATTAACCCCTTATTTAGGATCATTGCATGCTAGGAGGAGTGATTTAAAGATGAAATGAGTTTAAGAGAAAAAGAAAAGAAAAACCAACTTGATTCTAACTTAATCTTTAGCCCAATTCTTTTTTTTCCTATCTTGTCTCTTCCTTCCCACAGATATTTAGGGTTGCAGAACTTCACACCAGGTCCCTATGACTCTGCCTGGGCTCTAATTTCCTAGTCCACAGCAGTGTTCAGTGTTTGTGGCCACCACAAGGCAGCTATTGAAAGGAAGCAGGTACTACAGCTGAGGATCATAATAAGAAACACTTCAGGGCAGGCTGTAGTGTCTGGCAACCAAAGACCTATCACATACATCTCCTTGAATCACCTTAATTTTTTTTACTTTCCTTTAAACTCCCACAAAAAAACCCCGAAACCTTGTCCCCAGAACTTGAAGTTCTCTGAGTTATGTTTTTGCCTCTTACTAATCAAACACTACAGCTGAATATTTGGGGCTGACCAGAGAGAATGGGAAGTATAGAAGCTCCATCTCTCATGGAAGTGATTACATTAGACTTTAGTATCTATAGGATGTAAACTTTAAATTATTTACATTTCTCAACTTTGAATAAAAGGGTTTCCTTCTACACACCTCTGACCCTCCTGCTGGACAAAAATAGTCTAACAGATGACAGAGCTCTAACATGGTACAGATCATGGTACAGAGACTAGACATTGCTTTGCAGTTACAGAAGCAATGATCAAACCAAGGGCTGGCTGTGACTTGTGCTTACTCTAGAAATTCAGTATTTTTTTAACTGCCAAAGTCTTCCTGAACTTACAACACTAGTGGCTTTAGATACCAAATGACCCTTCTAATACTTACAACTATTAAGTAGCATAGATGCAGCAATACAGTTGTGATTGTGTTCTTTAAAATCTTAAAATTTAAAAATTTTTAATTTTTTTAAACTTTTTAAACTTTTCCAGACAATCATACTGAATACAAAAAGAAAAAAGAGACTGGTAAACTGGAACATGCAAAATTTTAGAGGTCTCTTAGGTTTTAAGTTCCCTGTCAGCTCTAGACTTGACTTTTAATCGGAAGTATTTTTGGCACTTCCTGAGCAATAGTTACATGCCTTCCATTCAGTGAGATTTAAAATAACTGACAGTGGAAACGTCTTAAATGCATGTGAAAAGAAACCAAACATTCTTCACTAAAGCTTCCACTGGAGATTCAGTATCAGTGTAATGGCTGATAACAGAACTCTAGTACTCTAAATTGTACTCAGAGTGTAAGACAGAGCAGTTATCATAAATAGTCTAACTTCTGGAGAAGAGCTTGATCAAAGATAAGCAATAAAATTAGGCAGATGGAGTGGGAGGTTGATTTGGGGGTTTTGCGGTGGATTTTTATACCACACAAAGGTGTTCTGTAAAAATCAGATACTGTGGGATGCTAGAACAGCTAAAAACCTTCTATTTGCTTGGACAGTGTACCCTCTGAATACAAATATTTGATAACAAAACCCATATCTACTTGGGTTTTTTTTCTGCTAGCATAGGCAGCATATAAAAAGTTTCTTTTGCTTTTCAGATTGCTTTTTAGGCCTCTGGAGTGGTGCTGTTCAAAGTGTTAATAATGAATGCACTCATAAATCACAGCTGATTGATGTAATTGTGATGAAGTAATGTATGCATGCATGTTCAATAAATAGATTATAAAAAAACAATTTTATTATTCAGATACTTGTGTAATTTTTCTACCTAGGTAATCTTGGTTTCTAGTGCCTTTAAATATAAAATTCTTTATTTGAGAATAGTTTAGGTATTATGGGTCTGTATAATAATCTCCTCTCTTAAAATATTAATGAGACTTATTCTTGATATCACACTTCAGCACTTCCCCCTCTTCCTTCCCCCATGAGGGGGAGGGGAAAAAAATCTCACTGTATGCATAGGAGGACTGAGCTAGAAATGCAATGAGATTTCATTTTTTTAAATAGCATTCACACACTGCTTCCCCAACTGTTTGTACCTTTCAAGAATCCAGATTGCAATTGCTTTATCCAGTTTTGGAACATGTGTAGCAGGGGAGGGGGTAAAGAATAGGACTGTAAATATGTCACTAGAGAAAATGTAATACCTAGTTGGTTTTGACATCTGCTTCATCAAGTTTTGGAAATGCTGCAGATTTAGTCTCACTTACCCATGTTGGTTTTTTGCTTTTGTTTCCCCTCTTTTCCTCATCCTTTTTCCACTTTCAGCATTACCCAAGGAATACCAGAAGATAGGAAAAGCATTGCAGAGCTTGGCACTGGTCTTCAGCACTAGTGGATACCAAGGTACTTCTATAGCTTCATTTGTACTTTGCTTAAAAAGAGGTATTTTAATTACATCATGCTACTTTTTTTTTTTTCCTGAAGATCTCTATGCTTTCCTCTTTGAGGGTTCTAGAAAAAATTCTAAAACCTTTCTTTTGTGTATGTTATGGGGTTTTTATGTTCTAGTTTGCAATCTTGTCTTCTCTCACTGTATAATCTTGTGGGTTGGTAGTGATGGAAGAGTTTAGTTTGATCTCTTAATATATAATCTGGTCACTGGCCTAAGTGACCAAACATGCTGTGGCATTTTTGTGATATCAAAGGGAAAGGAGAGAAAAATGGGGCCTTGAAAATAGCTGTCACAGAACTATTGTGTGACTTCGTGATACAACAACTCCACACAGTGATGGAAAACTTACTACAATGTTTTATAATCCACTATGTGGGCTGGAGGGTCAGCTACTATAGCCTTTCCTTGTCCTTCACTTTTGCTTCTCCTTCAAGAGCCCTAAAAAAGAGCCTGTTGTGTTAGGTATGAAAGCTGTGGGAGGGAAAAGGAGGGCATCAATTGCTCAAAGTTTTCCTAAAATGTTGTCTTTATACCAAGTTTAAAATATGTTAAGCTCTATTGATGTTTTCCAGACAACTGGAAAATATTTCCTCATATACAGAGTGTGCCTGTTGAATCAGTTTTCCCTGAGATTCTCCTTTCAAAGGTGTTTGAGGTTTTGTTCTTTCTATACTTGATAGCAAAATTACTGTCTTCTAAAACCTTAAATGTTATAGCATACTCTTGCTTTATAATATTAAAACATTTTGCCCCATAAATGATGTACTAAAATGCAACCTTCTGAAACACAGATTCTCTGCTGCTGAAAGTACTGGAAATAGGCATTGTCCCCATAGCTTTTTCTCATCTGTGCCCTGTACTTCAACAGGATGACTGCTTAGTTGGAATTGAGCATAGCATATTGCATAAAAAGTCACTTTTGGATGTGAGAATAAAATAGAGGATTTGCATGGTTATGTATTCTTAGCATGGGTTAGAAAACTGTAAATCCTGCCTGGATAAAACCTGTAGCAAGAAGTCTTGAGAAAACTGAAAATTGCTTGGGCTCTAGCACATTCTTTTGCCAGGGTAAAGGGAAAACAGTATGTCATGAAGCTAGGATACAAAATTGCAGATCAGCTTTAGAAATTAAAGCTTTGATTTGATTTCCAGCATCTTTGAATGGTATGAAAAAATTGATACCATGACAGTTTGGGAATAAGGCAAGCATGTCTGTCTTTGGTTTTTTTCCCAGTCACAGCTGGTTACACCTGTATCTTGTTGAGAAAAGTCCCCTTCCTACAGATGCCTTTGCCTTGATTCCACATGTTTTACTCAATAACTTGTACCCTTGTATTATTCCCACATTAATAATATATGGGATTCTTTGCTTTTTAATTTGAGTTCCCAGGAAGTGATAGCAAGTAAGATGCAGATGTAGCTTTAAATGGCTTCATCACTGCTTCTCTCACTCTGTCCTGCCTGCTGCTCATGTATGGATTCACCTGATCATTCCATCAGGAACAGGACTGTGGATTAAGCAGTCTCTGAAAAAGACATAAGCACCTGGATTTAAACTGATAGGGCACAGCGTTCCAGATCTCAGTATATAAAAGAGGACAGACACATTGCTTCCAATGGAGTAGTAGCTAGGCTGAGTATGGTGTATGATTTTTCTGGACTATCAGTAAGAGGAATGCTTTATTCAGCCATGCTTAAGGACACTCAGTTCAGTTTCTGTTGGGAGCTGAATCTCTTCATCCTTGGTTTTTGTTTTGTTTTGTTTTTTTTTTTTTAAATTTGTTTGGGTTTTTTTTTTTTGATTTCTTGTAATACTAGTGTTCTGAAAGTTTAAGCATATAGGCCACTGAAGATTGCAGTGACTGATTTGATTACAGAAACATTTCTAGTTACTGGTAGCTGACTTCTGACATAGTGTGTTTACTGTTAGTTGGTTCCTTTGCATAGTTAGGATGGGATGTATCTATTACCCGTACCACTTTCATCAGTGATGCCTGCTTGCTCTGCAAAGCTTTATGTGTAGTGATGTCTTCTGCCTTCTCTTCGAATTTCTAGCCTAAAATATTTAAGATTGCACCAGCCAAGATACACTTGTTAATTTGACTTACTCTAGCTCTTTTTCTCATGCTACAGAATGGGCCTTACCTATTTACTGCCAGCCCCAGTGTGTTAGGGATCTGTCCCCAGTATTTGCAGAGGCAAGGGTACCTTTAAAACTATTAAGGACACACTGAGAGGTTCTGATTTAACTTGGCTATGGGCTTATGAACTGTACAGTTGGTTCCAAGAATCTGCACTTTGCAAACATCATCCTGGTCCAAAAATGCATATTGGACAGTACCAGAACATGCCTAGAAGTGTCCTGCAGCCTGGCAATGTGTTGCCTATGTTACTGTGCCGTAGGATACTCTAAGGTTAACACAGCCTTAAATAGCGTGGCTTCTCTTTTGCGGCACCAAATCTGGAGGAGTCTTTCTCCTGTATTAAGGAAATGTGAATGACTGGTATGCCATTCAGTCGTGGTAAGATCTCCTAATCCTACATCACCCCTCAGGAATTCTGTTAGGCAGTTAGACACAAGTTTCAATATCCTGTCAGCTAGCAACAGGCAAATCCTGCTTTACAAGCTGCTTGTGTGCTGGACATCAGTTTGAGGTGTACTTATCAAGAAAAGCTTTGCTGCAAGTATTTGCTGCTAGTAAATCAAATTTTGTGATTTTTCTTACTGAATTATATTAAAATGACCTTTGAAAGAAAAGAAAACAAAAATACTTCTTGACAAAAAAAAAATCATCTGTCCCAGTCAAGACCTGGAGTATTAGTTCCCCCAATATGTGTGGTGTATTCCTTCTGAAATGATTATCACTGGCATTTACCAAGGAGTTGAACTGCTAAGGGATGTTCTATTAAACATCTCCAAAAGGCTTCTCATAGTTGTACATCTTTCTTCATCTCCTTATGACAGTATGTAGACTGTAAATCAATGAAAATATCTGTTTCTCCTTTCAACCCTGGTTGGGTTGAAATATCTGTGGAATATTACTGCCCATTTTAACTGCTCTTTTTATAGTTACCTTCAGTCAATGCTTTTAGGTCCCCTCTGTTTCTTCTGGGGATATATGTACTAAACACTAACATAATTTTGCTATAAATGTTAGCAACATTTGAGGCTTTCTGCTACTCCATTGATTAAAGCACCCCTGACATCCTGATGTATCCTTGCACTGGGACCCAACTCAGCTTTCACAGACGGGGTTAAGAAGGCAATTCCCAGCTTTGCATTGGTTCAGAAGCTGAGATTCCTGAAAATAAAAGATGATTGGTTTTGGGAGTGCTTGTCTAGATCCTTTGAAACTCTGATCTATGGAGGTTCCTTGAGTGAGTACAGAAGGGGAGGATTTTGTTGCTCATCTTAAATATACATACATACTCTTCCTCTTTTTTTTTTTTTTTTTTTTTTTTTTTTTTTTTTTTTTTTTTTTTTTGTCAGATACGGAAAGTTACCATATTTCATGGCATTATAAAATGAACAGCATCATCTAGACCAACATAGCTTCTGACTCTGAAGCCACACCAGGTTTTATCCCAAAATCTAGGAGTCAGTTGCCTAAGCAGCAGTTACTTCAAGGTTGCTTCTGAGCAGAAAAAACAATTCTGAAATACTGAAAATATTTAAGTCTTAAGACTGAAATAATAAAATTGATCACCCTCCAATTTTTTTTATTGTTTTACAAAAAGGTGAAGATATGTTATGAATTGCGTACCTCTTGAGTCTCACACTGGGAATTGGTGTTGGTTTTATTTTAATTTTATCCTAACAGGCCCAAATAGGAGAAAAATAATGATTTGTTTAGCAGTGTTTGTGTCACTGGACTGATTAGTTCTTAGGATCGGTCACTTTGCCTCACAGCTTTTTATGAAACCTAATGGAAAGGAGGAATCAATCGATAGAACTGAAGCAACATTCAGTCATTACCTTGTTTCCTTTAGGACATGCTGAAATGAAGGAATCCTATGTAATAAATCTCTAATGTAGATTAGACCATATGTTGTAGCAAAACAAAATACTTTAATGCTCAGATTAATCATTAATGAAATCTATGGTACTTTTCAATTAAGTCACTGATTAATATAGAATAAAATCAAAAAGTTAATAAAAGACTAACCACTGCCTAATATCAAGACATGTCTGAAAGCATAAGAAAACTCTTTTTTCTTAAACTGAACTTTGATATCTGCAAACTATACCTTCGCCTTTCTACTCTCTACCTCAATTTGCTTTCTGTACTGTTGACTACGTGCTTTGGACAAGCTAACATGGATGGGAAGGTGAAGTTGCATGAAACATACAAGAATGTAAGGCTTGTTTCCATCTTTGTCCCACATAGCCTGTCCTATTAGTAACACAGTGTTATGAGTGCTTGTGCTGTTGTCTAGCTTAGGATTTATGGTGATGTCTGTATTGTTAAGCATAGATTGTAGGGTGCTTTGATCTGTTTCATATGAGGATGAAGGTTAGAAACTCACTCTGAAAACCAGTGATTTTTACAGAGCTTGAAAATATTGTCTAAGAGTTCCCTAAAGGATCAGAAATCTTGTTGTCCAGAAAAAAAGTTACTTGAGCCTCCTTTTGCTTCTCTGACCTTTGAACTGTTATGGTCCAGGACTGTCAGAGAGCTCAGGGCTAGCAGCACATCAGCTTTGTCAGTCCATCTTTTGTAACCCTCCTCATTCTTCCTTCCTTTCCATCCTGGTAGATTTATTGTGTATTTAAACTGCATAAAATTATTAAATGTGGAAGTAAGTAGTGCTAGTACTGTGGTAGAACATTAATTTTCTACAAGACCTTCAATTTTCCTCCTTTAATGTTTTTAAAATTCTTTATTTCTGCTGGTTATAAAAGGATGGCTAGCCATTTATTATTGTAAATAAGCTATTTTATAAATTTGCCTTGAATCAAGGCAAGTTTCTTGTTGTAATTGACTTACTGTAATTTGAACACTGATGTTTACTTCTAGGAGAATCTGATCTCAATGGAGCAATAACAGAAGCAGGGAAAACTTACGAAGAAATTGCCAGTCTTGTAGCAGATCAGGTAGGAGTATTACAAGTGCAGTGGCGTAGTGTGTACAAATATATCACTTATTTGGATTACTTCTGACTTTTCTTTTTTCCTCTTTGATTAAAACATAGCTGCTAGTGCTATAGACCAATTAAATTGCTATTAACACTTTTAAATGCATTTTCATCTTCTTTTCTACTCTGTGTCAGCTCAGGGGGGATGTGATGAGAGGGTATTTCTGTTGGTCAGAAAGCCCACGTTCTGGTTTCTAAAATACTAGAATGATTGTTTGCTCTTTAAACGTGTTCATCTTGTGATGTCTGTGAACTGTCTTCATATTGATACAAAAGAATGATATTTAATCAAGGACAGTTTCTGACTTCCCTCTGCATTCCCCAAATGTCTATAGGATGCAGATTTTGCTGTTGCTTCATGTGGGGGAATACCTGTGTACTGAACCTGCTGCATTGCCTTGACATGCAGTTGCCTGCTTCAGTAAAAATCTGGCTTAAATAAACCTTGATTGGTATTCAAGACATACATTGATGTTTAGCATGTTATGCTTAAAGTCTCCAAAATGCAGAGCCTCTTTATCTCAAGGCTGAGTCTGAAGTTTCTTAAGACTCCTTTCCATGTTGACAACTGAGGAGATGCACCTGTGCATGTACATATTTGTATATGTCAGGAGAGACTGCACTGGAAACTCTTCTTTGGGGAAAAGGCAAAACCCCATCACTTTATGAGCTAGTGTTAAATGAAACAAAGAACAGAGGCATCTGCACAATGATGCTCAGTGCCTTGCTCTAAAAAGCTTATATATTTTTTTAAAGCTTTTTCATATATGAAAAATTTGCATAAACAATATTTTGGTTTGGGTTTTCTTTATTGTTTCCTTCCCTTTTTTCCTCTTTGCCCCTTCTTGGCATCATGCTTTCTTTTCTGTGATGTTAATTTGCCATAGATATTTTTACTTACGCTTATGCTTTGTTTATTAGCCAAAGAAAGATCTTCACTTTTTGATGGAAACAAATCATGAATATAAGGGATTTCTTGGTTGCTTCCCTGACATCATAGCAGCTCATAAGGTATGTGAAGAGCCTTTCTTTTTAAGGGCTGGGCAGTGGGGACAGCAGCAGAAGTGGTGGTATGGTACCCTGCATTTGTGCAGTGGCCTGGCCCCTTTTGCTAAAAGACTGGAAGTTTCTGTGAAACTAGTGTGTTGATTTTTGAAATAAGAAGTACTTAGAGGGAAGGAAAACAAGACTTTATCTCAATAATATCACAACTTTCTGCTGTAGTAGAGCAGTAGAAGGTTCATGATTTTCTTCAGGTTGACTTCATGTCCCAGTGGGGTGAATAGCAGTAGCGTAAATTTGTAATATTTGAGCCTTATGTGATAGTTGATAATAAAACCATACAAGTATTGTAGGAAAATACTAAAGTGTACTTGTGTACATGTGTGTGGCTGGCTTGCTGATATGTGATAAATAATCATGCACTGCATAGAAGTTTCTTTAATATCAAAAACCAGAGACCAGAGCTAATCTCTGACATTTCTGAGGGGAAGAAAAAACAAACAAACTAAATACCAGCAACAAAACCCAGCAATTTTGTTCTTTGTAATACAAAAGCCACGGTGTATACTTTTGGATATTCTGCCTTTTTTTTTTGGTCATAGAATTTTCCTTATGGTCATGTGTCTGCTGCAATGTATTTAAGGAAACTAAATATTATGAAGTATTAAAACAAGTGCACAAATATGTGGGGTTGGGTTTTTTTTTGATCACTTGAAGTGTTAAATGTATAGAACAAAAACATAAGAATATACTTCTGAGAGCAACAAAGATAAAAGCATATCAGATTTGTGTATTCTTTCTTCAGGACTTTTACAGTCCCTCATCCCACAGAATCATTGGGGAAAAATACCATAAAAGGAGAAGAAATGTTTTTAAAACTTGAAACATAAGCCTACTGGCAAGAGACATGTAAATAGATTCTCTTGCATGTTGTTTGGCACAAATACCTTGTGTAGGGGAGGCATATCTTTTTATGCTCGTTATTTATGTGACTCGAGGATTTTACTGAATCAATGGCTATACGTTCATTCAGTTGTAGTCTCTTGAAAAACAGTGTTATGTTGCCTTCTCTTGTAAAATGTGCAAAGAAGGTTCTGCAAGCTTTTGGATGTCAGTTTTATTGGTCATCTGTAATTTGAAACTTGGTCCATTTGTCCTTTTTGTATATATCCTTGTGTATTACTGCCTGTACCAAACTCAGTTTGCTTATGATTCTGATCATGCCTGTGTTTGAAGTAGCTTTTTGCAAGGACTCTTGGAATCAATAAAGTCAAATAACAGACTTTGGATGAAAATGTGAGAAGGCAGAATCAATCATTTTGTGTACATATGTGTACTGAATGCAAACTCAAAATGTAGCTAGTGGCATTTTAGATTACTGTGAACACCCCTAAGCTGACTACTCTTTTAACCTTTCTACATTTGGTTTCTACAGGGAGCAATAGAACGAGTGAAGGAAAGTGACAAGTTAGTTGCAACCAGTAAAATAACGCCACAAGACAAACAGAACATGGTGAAACGTGTGAGCACCATGGCTTATGCACTACAAGGTAAACCAAATTTTGAGCTAAATGGCAGTGTTGTACAACTCTGAAGGACTTCTGTTAAGCAGTATACTTTGAAAGAAAATCTTTTGCTACCAGGAATAAAACCTGGGCTTGGATTATTTGTGGGGGCTTTTTTGTGACCTGCTTAGATTTTTCTAAATTGCAGTTATTTTGCCTCTCCCTTTTTTTTTAAATCTCACATTGCTATTGCAAAAGACACATATTTTGAAAATGCAATTTAAACACCCCAAAACAACTTCCCCAGACTGATTCTTTGATTTGGAAGTGATAATGTCTCAAATTAAAAGCATGGACTCTGGTGCAAGAAGCAGGTCATCATTAGCAGAAGCGTTTTTCTGACTTTTAGTTTAGTTAGACATAATCCATCTCCTAGATGAGATTCATGTTCTTTTGGATAAGACCTTTATTTCCTGGATGGTTTTGAATTATCTTTTTCCTCTTTAGGTTAGAGGTGTTGTAAATATAAGGTACAGCACACCACACTAGAAAAACTGGAGAAGTGAGGAGTCAGGGCTCAATCCTGCAGGATATCAAGCCATTAAGTGCATCCTGTTACTGACTTCAATGAGATTACTCATTACTGAGGGGGTTGCACCATTTATAGATGATTTAAAGCCAGGAGTACTCGATATATTATGTGACAAAGTCAGAGTAGCACACAAAATTGATTTTAAAAACAACCAAGAAAACTCATTTCCTTCCTCTTAGTCACAGTGACGCAACAGGATTGTGTTTTGTGTGTGGTAATTGTGGAAGAGACTTCTAGGATGAGTTTTACAATGTAGCATATTTCTTCTCCCTCCATTGATATCCCAAAATATATTTAAGAACTTCTTTGAGCCATAAGCTGTGATCTGAGATGTAGAAACTGATGTAAGGTGTTACAGATTCAGTAATGCTGTTTCTCAGGTATCTATTGAAACAGTGTAAGTCAAGAAGGAGTCACACAATACTGGTTGTATCTTTTTTATTCTTTTTTGTTGAGCTAAGTGTTTACAGCTATGGCTTACAACTTGATATCTGTACCCTTAGAAATCTGAATGTCCAAGCCAAAATTGTGTTGGAAACCCTTCAGGAAGGAACAGTTACCTCAGTAGAAGAAAATCCTGCTTGTATTTTGTATCGAATCTTTGTGCACCTGATTATTGTAATACAAGAACCTGGCTTTGTCCAGGAAGTGCCCAGGTTGGTGTGTAATTGACCCCCTACCAATCTGACACACAGTTCCACTATAACTTGAGTGCTGCAAGCAGAACAGGTTGTGGAAGCATGAGAACAGTCCTGCCCTGCTGGCAGGGCTGGACACTGAGCTTGCTGCAGAGTAACTAACTTGAACTGAGTGAAACTGTTCCTAATTATAAATGCTTCTGTTAAATAATATGTCTCCTGGGTCTGATTGCAGCTGAGATGAATCACTTCCACAGTAACCGGATCTATGACTACAACAGCGTCATTCGTCTCTATCTGGAGCAGCAGGCACAGTTCTATGAAACGGTAAGGGACAGGGCTTAGCACTGTTTGCTTGGCATGTACTGTGCTGCTGCTTTTATAGGAAATACAGGGTTTAATCCATGCTCCCACAGAGCAGACATTTGAAGAATTGTACAAAAAATTGTAAAAGGAATTGTAAAAAACCCTGAGAACTGAAAGAATGAGTTAAAATAATATTTTCCCATAGATACTGTCTTATGTACATGATTGTTAGGATAAACCCAGTAGAACTAAGAACCACTGCTCAGACACCATATTGTTGATAGCTTGACTTTTTTCTTCCCCCCAATGCCTGTACTAGGCTTACAAAGAATTTTAGCTCTCTGATGTGTAGTAAGCAAGGCCTGCTGTACTGAACAGAACAATAAAACATTTCAACAAAACTTTCCTCCCATAGCATAGGAGTGAGAAGGGAAGCTTTTGTGATTTAAAGCCTGATGTATACAAGTGTGGGGCAGGAGGGACAGGAACATTTCAGGTGACATTAAATATTTTAAATCTGAGCACTCTCCCTACCACTGTAGTTCTCATTTAACAGTGTTCTCATGCATGTATCCTTTGCGATTTTTTTAAAAACAAACCAAGAACAAGGTTTCTAAAGTGTTATGCTGGTAAAACATTTGAGTTTGAATATGCTGCAACCTGACCTCTGTCACTAAAAGGAGTCTCATAAGTAACAGGTGCCCCTTCACAGCCATAAAAGTTGCCAGTGGAGCTTCAGAGGTATCTTTAGTGGGTGACAACTGTAGGTCCCCCATTAGGTCACTTTGCTGACTTTCCTTGACACATCTGGTGGGGTTAGGCTTAGCTTGCCCCTTACCATCATTCAGCCTCTTGTCCAGTCTATTTCAGTCCTTCTGGTTGCAGCCTCACCAGTTTTCTTCTACCAATGCTCTCTCCCCCAGTACATGTTCACATGTGGGGTCGTGGCTACCATGAGAACTGTGGGGAGTGCACAGGAGCTCTGTTCTGATGTTTCAGCCTTGCTTCAGCAGGGAGGTGAGCTTCCTGGAAAATCTGGCTTTGTTCCTGTAGCTCTCTGGTGCAGTGCAGTGCTAGACAGACAGAATAACAGCCCTGCCTACAATGCTTTCTCCAACACAACTGGAGCAGTGAAAGTACCAAATTAACAAGGCAGAAAGTGTATATATGAGAAGTCTTTATAACGGAATGTTTTGAGAATCCTGCATACACAAATGCCTGCAGATTTTCATCATATTTCTGCACAGTGTAAAGTGACTACATATTAAAATAAATGCCTTCTGTTTCTTTGTTTCAGATTGCACAGAAGCTGAGGCAGGCACTCAGCCGCTTTCCTGTGATGTAGAGAATAAGGAGTATTCAACAATACAGAACAACTCCAAAGTGCTTTTCTGATGTGGGGGCAATGCTAATGAAAACTTGTTAGCCTTTGCAAAAAAAAAAAAAATCCCAAAAAACCCCAAACCAACAAAAATCAGTTGTAAAAAAAAGTATTATTTCAAATTTTACTTTATCAGCTTAAATCATAAAATAAGGCTCTCCTGTCTTGAAAGCTCTCCCATTTTTATCATTATTTAAATAAAAACAGCTAGGTAATGCTGTCAGTTATAGGGATCTAAATTATCAAACTGATATATTGCCATGGACTTCACGAAGACTTGTCTATCAATTGTTATTCCAAAAACTCTGGATCAACACTAGAGTGGTGCATTTGTAGCTTTTTTTTTTAAATGGGAAAGCAGACAAACTTAAGAAAATGACCTAATACTCATTATATTAAGTTGAGCTCTGCAGCAATTCAGTAACCAGGAGGAATTATACTCATGTATGTTTCTGCACATGGTTGTGATAATCTCCTGAATGAATGCTTTGTTCTTAAGTTTTGTTTCCCATATGCAGCCATGGCATTCTGCTCCCAGTATGACTTCTGGTAAATATAAATCATTCTTCCCTCTCTTCTTTTTCCTTCTAACTAAATCTTGTTCTTGTGGCACACCACCTCAGAGCTTATGTCAGGCTCACTTTTTCACTATGCACTGTGTAAGAAGACAAAGTACAAACAAGGAACGAGCCATTCAGGAAAGTGTGAAAAACAGTTTTCTATACCAGCACTTTGACACCCCCAATGTTATGCCATAAGGCACTGGTGTTTCTCAGTGCTGTACAGGGCCAGCTTCCCCTCTGACAGTTTGTAGTGTTTCAGCAGAGGGGACAATGCCACATCTAACCCCAGCTAGTAGACATCCCCAAATTCCAACTCAGCTCAGGTCTTCGTGTAGTAGTATGGTGTGCTATTGGTTCAGGTTGACTTTTTGTTGCCTTCTAATGCAAACTCAGAGGTGACAAAGGTACTGAATAACATCATTAGTTATTACACAAACTCTGTTCTTTGATCATCGTCTTTTATCAAGTGACTCAGTATCCTCTTCCATACTACTGAAATACCATTTGAGGCCTTGGCTTTTCACAGAATCAAACCAAAAAAAGCCACCACCGTGTTCACAATGGGCACCAAGTACAGTAATTCATTTCTTGCCATAGGCAAGCAGGAAAGCCAAAACACAGTTGCTACTAAAATGTGCCTAGAAAATAAATACTTTAGTTTAAAAAAAAAAAACTAAAAAGGCATTTTACCAATAAGCCATTCTAAGTGACGGGTACAGTCTGCCAGTTCAATAATTGCCTTACTCTGTTTTGCATTGGTGTTACTTTTCTGTGCTAGAAGGAAAATCTGGGTCTGCCTGAATAACCTGAAACCAAACCAAGCCAGACTAGGCCTAAGTCTAGATGCTTCTCATTGTCACAAGTTTTGTTCACCTTTTATAAACCTTGTCTTTTTCTCCTCCCAGTTTTAGTTTGCTTCCAAAATTCCATAGTGCAGTGTTGTTTGATACAGCCATTTAAATATGTACAAATTGTAAAGAATGTGTATAAATGTTTTACACCAAATGTAAGATCTGCTTGCATGTAGAAGCAGCTTATATAATAAATTGTTACAATGTGTACAGTAAATTCTGAAATCACTTTTTCAAGCCAGCATTTTTTTAGCATTTGTATATTCACTTTTTGGTAATGAAATCTCTTTGTAACAGACTCTTCATTTGGGAGGGGGAAGGGGTTCTTTTTACCAATCCTTAAATAGCTCCATATGCACTAAGTTGAAAGCTCTTTATCTTGAATAGATTGTTTTGGAATCTTAAGTGTAAGCTCTGCATTTCCAGTGCAGGGAAGCTATGACAGTAGCAACTGTGCCAGTGCAACACTTTGGCAAAAAAAAAAAGAAAAAAGAAAAACTGTTTAAAGATTTCTAGTAAAATGAAGTTAAACTGATAATAAATATTTATGTATATCCACCAGACTATTTTATCTTTTTTTTTTTTTAATCATCATGTTGGTTTTTAACAGGGTGAATGCAGTATGAGGCAAATCCTCCCTGTAGCTTTTCACCAGCTTACACACAGGCCAGATGAATGAGGAAGCATCCATGTGTCTTCCAGAAAGCAGGCATCCCAACTGGATGGTATAATAGTGCTAGTGACTGCAAACCAGCAAAGGCTATGCATATGTTGTAAGCTTTCTTTATTCAGGTCAGTCCAGCTCGTGGCTGATGGAACCCTCCTGACTGCAAATAAGTAGAGCACAGTGCTACTGTGTGTTCCTGGTTTTGTGTCAGCATGGTGTTGACCCAGAATAGAAATTTGATTGTCTTTGATACTTTTTAAATTAGACATGAATAGTGGCATAGTTTAATTGCATGAGTTGGGGGCAAGAGAAAATGTGCACACTAAAGATGTAGTCATAAAACAGAAATAGCAAGTTAGTGCAAGGCTTGAGCAGTGCTCTCCTGTGTTTTGTTTGTCATAGCTGAATAAATAGTGTCTGCAGCATCAACAAGCCTTAGTACTGTTTCCTGGCTTATGTTTTCCTTCCAGGGAGAGCCAAACACTGGCATTAGCCCAGTGACTTCATAAAAGGCATCAACTGCCCAAGCTGTTGGATTTAACTTTATACTTTTAATTGCTTATTCCATTACTGCAACTACATCCATTTTTAAAAAATAAAAATGTAGCTGTACAGAGAGGAAGGATACCTGCATTTCTTGTTTGCAATCCAACATGAGAGTAAACTGCAGCAGCAGACTCTGCTATAGGGAGTGGTTTTGGAGGTGTACTATTGACTGCAATTAGAGAGTTCTTCAATAAGCCCTAACTTTACATGAGTATGGAAATTTTTACACTCCTGAGCAAGTCCTGTTTTCTGTGACAAGGTAATTGGGAAAGTACTACCATAATATACACTCAACTCTGTAAATCCTAATTAAATAATACATCAATTTTACTGCTTCTGAAATTAGTCTAGTTCAGGCTCTTAGAAGGAATTCAGATTAACAGCCTTGTAAAGAAAATTCTCACAAAGGAAGAGATGCATCTCTCGTGCTGTGGCTGAGTTTGACATACACCAGACACTCTGCCAGTCTGGATTGGCCAAAATTACTCCCTCCACAGCCTCAGGACGTGCAGTCCAGCAGCAAGGAAAGCATGCACTAGGCGAGTGTCCTGCCACTGCTGCTTCTGCCTTTTGTAGGGCTTCCCATGAAAGCGAAAGCGTGTGCACGCACCAGGCAGAGGCCAGTTAGTTGGCAAGGGGCAGGGGGTCTTTGGTCAGTGGTTTTTTTTACATACTTTCCTATAACTCTTCTGATAAAATTAATGCTAACATCTAAGTTAATCACTTGAGCAGAAAAAACCCTTTTTTCCTGTCTAAACAACACTAACAAAAACAACCTTATAGAATATATTGACTGGCTGGTGACCAATCCGCCCATTCTGTCGCGTGGCCATGTCAGCTACACCCATGCTGTTTTAAAGAACATCTGAGTCACAAACTTGGATTAGCTGTTTTTCCCTTTTTTTTCCCCTCTCCCATGGCTCTTTGCACATGAGTTGTGACTCTGAGATTTTGCAGTATTTTTGGGATACTGAATTTAAACTGGCTTAATTTCCTTGTCTTATAAAGAACGTGTTTGCCTATTTTTAATCTTCTGGGCCTTTTAATCTTTTCTGATTGGCCAGATTTCCTTAAACCATCCTAATTTTTTGTGTTACTCTAGATTCCAGCTAGTATTCTTACTGTCTTCCTGCTGAACTTTCTGAACTCTAGGTTCTTCTCATTTACAGATTTTAAAACTGTTTGTTTCACAATAGGATTTATTAGTTTCTTTGAACTGATCCTGTCTATCTGAAGCCAGCTTTCTTATTTTTACTAAATACTGTTCTTGCCTTATTCTAACCTGTGGCTGTATTCTGTTAAAATACATTTTTGTACGACACAGTTTTCTGTTGGGGCTGAAGCAAGATTGCATGTAATATTTATTATTTTCTGTTAACACAGACTTCTGCTACCCTTAGTTTTCCTTTTGTACCTACCATCTTCAACAACTATTCATTTTTAAAATATATTTGTTAATTTGTCATAATATAATTTGTTAACTTGTCATAGGACACATTTGTCAATTCAAGGTCACTTTTAATTCATGTTGCCTTCTGTTGCAATTAAATCTCAGTAGATCTAAATCTAAAATTGTTACTCTTTGCTGGTTTTTAGTCTTGTGAAATGTCATTCCCAAAAACCACAAATATTTGATGAACTTTTCTCCTAAAAAGTATGTAATTCTAAAGATGTAATTAAGTTGCTAGCTCCAAGAGGTTTGTTGGAGGTTATCTTAGAAGAACAACAAACAGTAGGATTTTTAAAATAACAGAAAATATAGGAAGATTGTGGGGACTTTTTAAAAAAACAGTATTAAGTGGTTTGGTTTCTTTTGAATTGTATTTTAGTTACTTGACCTTAGTTATTGACCTGTCCCTATTAAATTGCTTGTCAGAGCATCCCCCCACACCCACCTGTGTGATTGTGTGATGCCTCAATGACTAATGAGCTTGGTCACTCACAGGAGACACAAAAATAGTGGGACAGCAGACTGAAGTTTATAGAATGAGGATTGTAAAGAACATGCTCTCTTCCTTTTGATTATTTGGAATAATAAATATGTAAAATAATTTGCAAATAATATTGCCATTTCAGACACAGTTCAAGAAACACAACCTCTTTGTAATATTTGTAAATCTAGATAGAAGTTGAACTCTTAATCCTATTAAATGAAAAGATTTCATTATGTTCACTTTTCTGCTTCATATTTTGGAGGAAGAGTATCTCCCTGCTCCCATATGATCCTTGTGCATTTTGTGCTCATCAAGACCTTTCTGGACCCGTCAAAATTTTTTGCACTTCTGACATACATTGCACTACATTCACTTTGTTGGCATCTCTGAGCCCCTGTATCTGCTGTAGGGCAGGAGGGGGTCATTGCTGGTATGTTCTTGCCATTGTATAAGAGTGTCAGGAGGGCTTTGGTAAGCACAGCACGCCCTTACAATACTATCAGCACTCACAGCTGTACTATGAATCTGAAATATCTACTGACTTTTCTTAAAGTCTCTAAAAATATGAGAATCCAAACTTTGTGTTTGGTTGGGGTTTTTAAACATGTCACTATAATGTCCAATGGCAAACTGGAAACAAAACCCAAAATGAGAGAGTGATGCTGTTTATCCAATGTTCATCTATCTATATTTTATTATTTTTAATCAAATTCCAAGCCAGACACAGAATCTTGTCAAGTTTGGTGTATCCAGTGACTCATCAAGTTAAACTCTTGCAAAAAGGAAAAGCTGCCTCAAAAGTAAGGGCTAAACAGGGGTGAGGGTAATTTTTCTAACTGTTGACTAGTTCCTGACTAGTTGAGTTGTATTTTTAAGCTCAGTAAAGATTTTGTTTAAAAATTCAACAGCTGGGAGAGAAGTGAAAACTTAAACATAGCATCTGTTGTAATATAGTATGAAAATATAAACCAGGCTTCTTGCTGCTGGGATGGATTTGCTGGGCTTGACACACTGCCCCAGAAGATTCCCATCTGACTGCACTCACCAGGACTGCACCATTCCAGACTGGTTATGCCAGCAGAGAGAACTGAGGAACAAGAAGACTCTTCACGTGTCTTCCCTGTTTAAGTAGTGACACTTTTCTACCTGGTTACAAATTGGACCTACTAAACTTAAAGCAAGGACTTTGTTCCAAACCTCTGGGAAGGAGGTAAGTCTAGAACACTTCTTCCCTACTTTGAGCATGTTTATGCTTGTTTAGCAACAGTAACAACTTGTGCCAGTCTATCTGCTGCTTACAACCACAGTCTTAATGCTTGACAGAAAGGAAACAACATCCAAAAACAAATAAATCCACAATGCAACTGTTCATGAAAGTCTTCCAAATATAAACCAAATTCACAATCAGTAAGAGGAGGTTGCTGTCCACAGACTGCAATACTACAAGATTAGCCTGCAGGATGGCTGCAGGATTTGGGATCTATTCAAATGTGCTGTAAAATTATCACTGAAAAAGGACAACTTGCAGGGACTGCAGTGGTTTCACAGGGGATTGAGGGGCTGCTCGTAGAGTAAGGGTGGAGTTCAGGAAAGCTGTTTGTAGGTGCCGTCTGGCACAGCTCCCCTCTGAGCAAGGAGTTCATATTGTAATTATCTAGTGTTAGAATCTCATAAAAATGACTGGTGGTCTTAAGCCATTTTAAAATAGTGAAATAAAACAGCCCTTTCTGAAGGGGATTTTATTGTCACATGGAAAAAAATCCAAAACCCAACCCACAAATAAACACTGTAGTGGGTGTTTGCAAGGGAGCCCGAGCAGACACCTGCAGCTAGGCCCTGGGCTGTTTCTCACTGCTGGGATGGAGCCAGAGAACAGGAATCAGCTCAGGTCCACTGGCTGGGTCTGGGTGTGTGTGGGGCACACAAGTCTGCTGATGAGCTCTGCAGCATGGAGAAGGGCAGGACAGATGTGCACTGTCACTGTCTGGTTCCGTCTCAGGCCCAGTATGCAATGACACCTCAGCTGACCCTCTGCAGCCAGCTAAGATCTTACAAAGCAAAGTGGTTCTGCCCTGTGC